ATGATATTAGCTCATCTTTTACAAAATTTCTTGCTGTCCAAAAAATATTAATGTTGTGAAATGGATTTCTTAAAAGCTAGGTATATCGCGGTTAAGATAACCGTTATTATAAAGTATCTAGCTCGTGAATGTTAATATCTATAAGGAGTTTCGGTTGGTTTATGGTATGTTATGCCCATAGAAAAAGTTATACATAATCCTATGCATAAAGCCGGAATCGACTATAAAGCCATAGGTTCTGTTTCTTGGTACGAAAAGATTAATTATATTTATGGATGTTTTTTTTGGTAACGATTTTGGATATATATATATATATATATATATATATATATATATATATATATATATATATATATATATATAATTATTTGTCATAATGTGGGCGTAAGGGTCATACAGCTAATAATTGTTATGTTAAGACAAAATAAATGAGTTAAATGTTTCTGATGATTTAAAAGAACAAATAAGAAAAATTATTTTAAATATTGATTCAGATTCCGATGAAAGTATTTCTGATTTTCAAACAAATGATTTAAATATTCTCGAAAATATTACTTCAAGTTCAGAAGATTATGATGTTTGCGAATGTATTGGTAAATGTCATTGTAAAAATTTAATCAATGTAATTACTAGTAGTTCTATTAACGTTCTTTCACAAGATGATAAAGATCTTTTAAACTCTCTTGATTCTGTAAAAGATAAAAATATCCAAGAATTATTAATAAAGCAGATACCATTTTTAAAATGATACCATTTTTCTTATATATATATATATATATATATATATATATATATATATATGTATAATATGTATGTATATATATATTATATATGTTATAATATATATGTATATATCTCTATTGTATATATCTATATGTATATATATATATATATATATATATTATAAGTTCAATTGACAAAATTAAAAAAGATTGAGAATGGGGGAATCATTTTCAGCCACTCATTTAATCTAAGCATAAAAGACACGGTGGCAAACTTGTAAATATGATAATAACCTTCAATCTCAAATACGTAACATCGATTTCTTTGTTGAATACTCCGAATTTGAATATCCCAGATTCGCAAACGAACTCAGTTGGAATCGGAATTTCTTTGTTGTTCATGAAATTGGAATTGGAGTTCTGGACTCGCAGTCACAGTCGACATTGAAGGACTCGGAATCGGTACTCACAGGTTCCTAATCGGATTTTCGGAAATCAAAATCAAAATGTGAAATCGATCAGACATAGGATGTCGCATCTGAAGTCGGAAGCATTTGAAATTGGAATATATATTCTAATCGGAACAGTTCGCGTCTTGATTATTAGTATTACAAAGAAATCTGGAATCGGGATTTCAAGGTTTCAAAAATTGAAATCGGATTTTTTTTGGAATGAAATGAAAATCGGAATTGCACGCTTCAAAGTCGAAATCGGAAGTATATGATGATTTGGAATTGATAACTTGAATTGGAAGTATCATGTTTTTAACATTTTTAAAAAAGTTAACTTGTATGCACCCCAACTGTTTGATGAAATGCATAAACTAAATTACCACGTTATATTCACATATGAATATGTTTTCCGACCTGAATCAGTATATGATTATTAAAAAAAACAAATATGCAAGTCTGTATGTTATTCATATGTGAATAACGTATAAAAATTATATATTTGTGAAAACACATTGTAATATTCATATATGAATATACTGTGTAATATTAATAAGTGAATATATCATATTATATTCACAAGTGAATATACTATGTAAAATTCACATGTGATATACCATGTAATATTATGTAATATTCACATATGAAAATATCATATAATATTCATAAGTGAATATACCATCTAATATTCACAAGTGAATATACTATGTAATATTCACAATTGAATGCATCGTCTAATATTTAAATATGAATATACTATGTTTATTATATGTTATATTCATATATGAATGATATTTAAATTATAAAAAAATTAATCATACTTTTTATTCATAAGTGATAATGTATTTTTTTCGGAAAAAAAACATTGTTTTGAGGTCCTAAGCAAGTTTGTAATTCATATGTGAATAACATATAAGAATTATATCCGCATGTGAACATATGTAATATTCACAAATGAATATATATGCAATAATCAAATGTGAATATATATGTATTATTCACAAATGAATAAAACCGTCAATAAAATCGAGGACTACAAAATATATAAAATTAAAGATAAAAAAGTATTTGATAAAAATATATATTTATTCACATACAACTAATCTTTTTAGGTTAATAAAATAATTATATAAGCATATATATTTTTATTAATGTTATATTCATTTGTGAATAAATGATAACTTTTTTTTCGGAAAATTATAAAAAATAGAAAAACGTCATTTTAAGGCCCTAAATAGTCCCGAATGGCCGAAAAACACCGTACGTCACGGCGAAGCTGTGAGTTTTGTAAATCGCACCATTTTACATCAAATATGCGAATTTCATCCAATTCCGAGACTAAACTTCATTGCGGCAAATTGTTTTGATAATGTCACTAAATTTTCATTCCTACTAGTGATGACATCATCATGACATGCTATTTATTCATATATGAATAAAGTTTAGAAATCATTACGACATATTTACTGATGATGTTACTAACTTCAATCACACTAGTAAAAACATCATTGTAATCTGTTATTTTTATTTATGTGAATAAACTATACAGTTGATTTATTTATTTTGTGAATACAACTTTTATATATAAAAATAAATAATACACTATAAGAATTTGTTTGAATAGTTTTTTTTGTATATTGTAATAATATTATTTTACATGTAAAATCAACATTATACTAAGACAAACAACATTGTATTGGTTAATGAATATCATTTGTATTTGAATTTAACACGATCAAAATGAAGAATATATTAAATTTTATAACATTTACACGTGAATATAAAAACATATTGTCTTCGTCAATGATATCTTCTCAATTACATCAACCAATCGTCAACCACCGGGATATGAACCAACCATTGATTGAAATGTTATTCTTTTATTGAGTTATAATGATGCCTGAAAAACATGTGAATACACATAAAAGATGTTAAAAATATACTTTTAGTTTAAAATAATAGCGATTTATCACATTCTAATTATCATATGGTATATTCACACATGAATGTATAATCATATGTGAATATTATATGATATATGTTGTTTATATTGTATATTTACATGTGATATTACATGGTATATTCACAAATGAATATTACATAGTATATTCACATATGAATATTATATGGTAGATTCACATGTGAATAGTATATGGTATATTTACTTGTGAATATTACACATTCTAGTCACATCTAAATATTGCATAGTATATTCATTAATGAATATTACACAGTATATTCACATATGAATAATATATAGTATATACACTTGTGAATATGATACAATATATTCATATTTAAATATTAAATGATGCATTCACTTGTGAATATTACATAATATTTTCACTTGTAAGTATTAGATGATATATTCACTTATGAATATTAGATGGTATATTCATATGTGAATATTACACAGTTTATTCACATATGAATATTACACAGGATATTAACATATGAATATTACAAGGTATATTCACAAATATATATAATTTTTATATGTTATTCACATATGAATAACATATAAAATTGTATATTTGTTTTGTGTTTTAATAATCATATACTGATTAAGGTGCGAAAACATATTCATATGTGAATATAACGTGGTAATTTAGTTTATGCATTTCATCAAACAGTTGAAGTGCATACAAGTAAGTTTTTTTAAAAATGCTAAAAACATGATACTTTGACTATTTAAAACTTACAAAAATAGTAGATTGATAGATAATTATATGAAATTTTTCAAAAAAAAATGATTTGACGTTTTTCTAACCTTAATTTAGAAGTTTTGTTTGATGATCGATGTTGAATGAATGATATGAAGTGAAATTGTTGTTGATTATAGATGATGTTGATCTAATGACACTGAGAGTATAATTAATCGTAGATGTTGAAGATATGCTCGAATTCAAGCATAATTGAAGGTTGGATTGAAAGAACAAAAACGATTTTTTTTGTCTACTATTGAATGATCTTGATCAACGTGTTTTTGACGAAGATGGATGATTGATTAACACTGGATGATGTTGATCGAGGATTTAATTGAAGAAATCTGGATGATGAACGATCGAGTAGTAATGAATTTGAATTGTTATCAAATTATCCACAATTATGTATCTGTGATTGAAGGTTATCATATCATATTTACAATTTTGCCACCGTATGTTTTATGTTAAAATGCTAATTAAATGATTGGCTGAGAATGATTCCCCCATTCTCAACCTTTTTTTTCTCAATTGAACCCTCCTATATATATATATATATATATATATATAGATATATATATATATATATATATATATATATATGTGTGTGTGTGTGTGTGTTCAGGTATTTAAAGTAATTACTGTGTTATTGTATGCATAAATGTGGGTCAATCATAATTAAATAAAAATTTAAATAATTAAATAAATAAACAAGGGTATTTTAGTAATTTGATAAATAGCTTCCACAAATAGTCCTATAATCATGCTAGCATTCAATTTTAACCTAATTTCTTTTCTTATATACAGCCGTCATCCATTTGCGAGGTGGTCGTCTCCGATTGAAGACCCCTTTCACGCCGATCATCCAATCACCGGGTACTGATCATTGTTGATCCCCAATCTCCTCCTTCGATTTCTGCCTTTGATTTCTTCCCTTTATCTTCATTGAGAAAAACCACGAACCACCCCAATCTACATTCGATTTCCCCCAAGCGTTTCTCGGTCGAACACTACCGTTTTTCTTGCTTCCTTCAACCTTGCAGATGTTAGTAACGAAGGAGAAAAACCCACGAAGGGCACACCGGGATTAGCATTTCACCCTCCCTTTTACTACCGACCAACCACCAATGGAACTTCCTCTCTCTCGTTGTGCACTTTCGAAGAAAAAGAAATCCAGTGGAGCCAAGAGGCAGAAATCCATTAGGGCTCCCGGTGCTCGGAATAGTAGCAGCAGCTGCCGTTACTTTCTATGTCGTCAGCTTCTCCGAGCTTCAAGAGGTAATCTCCCTTCTCTCTCTTTCATTCGATTGATACTTTATCTGTTTACAAAATTCAAATCAATTCGTTTTCGTAATCAAAATTCCGATTTTGAATTTCAGAAATCGTTGAACAATTCGTGAACAAAATACCATCGATAGATAGGAAAAATTCAGAGCGCGAAAGAGGAGAGAGAATCCTTTCAAAATGTATTTTTTTATGTTGCATCGGTGCTACTGGTAGATGATTCAAGGTGATACTCCTTGTTTCCAAAGAAGATGAAGAACCAGACAAAAAATATTCATATCAGGTATGTTTTAACTAACTCCAGTTGGACCACTTCAAGTCTATTCATCATTCCATATGCAATTTTGGTTGTTAGCTCATTGACTTCTAAAAGAAGAAAATGACAAGGGTTATCTTTCACTGAAGGGTATCAAACTATTTTCTTGAAACCAATCTGTTTTTTAGATCATAGGTTGCATAAATACTAATTCTGATAGATATGAACTTATATTTACTTGGATCTTCATCTGAATATTGTATCATGATAATTTATTTGCTAAAATCTTTTAGGATATTGTATCTTAACTTCAAGGTCCAAGATTCATATATACACTATCTTCTTGTGTTAATTTTCATTAAATCCGATAGTAACCAAAATTTATTACCATTTTATGACATGGGAACCTCACAAAAGGACGCAAAAAGCAACGGATTGATGGACCTTTTGTAATGCCACATTTTAATTTTAAGTTGGATTATTAGTTTGATATTTCTTTTTGATTATCAGAAAAGGATCTGGAGGTTGGAACTGGTAAAGGAGAAAAGCAAAAGCATTGACTGCAAGTTTTCGTATATTAGATAAGCAGGGACTGCAATTTTTCTGTTGGAATGAAATCATGAAATCTAATTCTGTTGGAATGGAATCATGAATTCTAATTCTGTTGGAATCTAAACTACAATTTGGTGTTGTTTCACAGAAGTTGATGCTTGAAGAACGGACCACAAAATTGAAAGCGATTCTAAGCAACATTATTCTTTTAGAATGTATTAGTGTGATTGTTAGATTTTTGATATTTTTTTTCGTTTTGAAAGTTTTTTTAGTTTTATTCTTTAACAATAAATGTAATTCTTAACAATTGTTACCCGTATTCTATAAGAAATAATGTATTTTTTGTTTTTATTCTTCAATTGATTGTTCAAGAATTTGTTATTCTACAAGAAGTTTTTAAAGTCATGATCAAGAAATAGGTTCAAAATACTTTTATTATTTATGGTTCAAGAATATTTTTATTTTTTGAATATACTCATAAACATATTCTGTCAGAATGTCCGAATTAAAAAAATTATAATTCGTAAAATCGGATTTTTAACATTAATAGAATCTATGATCCCTTAAAATATGCAATTTTCCTTTATTAAATCTATATTAGTTGACTAAAATATCATTGTAATTAAATTAAACGATATTTTCAATTATATTTAATTCAATAATATATATTAATCACTTTCTTAAAATAAGCAAAATTGATTGACCCACATTTATGCATACAATAACACAATAATTACTTTGAATAGAATAACCTTAGGTTCTATGGAAAACAAAAAACCTTAAAAATCATTAAAATGCATAAAAAAAATACTTAGAGATCACAGAACTTTTTTTTGAATTTTTTATCAAAAAATCGCAACTTTTAGGTCAAAATCGCTGAAAAAAAATTTTGAAAAAAAAAAATTTTCGAAAAAAAAATTGATTTTTTATTTTTTTTCAGCGAAATTGTAAAAAATGCTGCGATTTTTTGATAAAAAAATTCAAAAATTTTTTTTTGTGATGTCTTGGTATTTTTTTTTATGCATTTTTATAATTTTTAGGGTTTTTTTGTTTTCCAAATAACTCTTCCCTATATATATACACACACACACACGCTGTAGTTTCTTTAACATAAAAATCAGATATATCAAATTAAAAAAACCACGAGCAACAACATAACTAACAAGAGTGAATACAAGGAAAAAAAAGAACCTCGCCTCACTACAATAAAAGTCTTTTCTTGCAACAACATAACTAACAAAAGTGAATACAAGGAAAAAAAAAAGAACCTCGCCTCACTACAATAAAAGTCTTTTCTTAGCGACCAATGTTTTTGTGACTACTTAGAATATGGTCACTACCAGCACCATATATTGACCATATATTAAGTTGTCATTGAATTTGGTAATGCTAGTAACTTAATGACTAATATTATGGTGGTCACCACTCATTGGTCACTAAACTGTATAATGAAATTAAATTTAAATTTTTATTTAATATCATAATAAGTATTACTGACTAAAACTAATAGTCATTGTATTAGAGACTTAGTGATGAAAAATAATTGTCACTGAAGTAAACTTAGTGACCAAAATAACAGTCATTACATTATAGGTTTAGTGGCAAAAAATAATACTCATTAAACGTTTTTCGTTTTCATACATATGTATGGAAATGTATTTTTCGTCTGAAATAGCAATGTACTTATAAAGCAATAAACATAAGTGCTAATTTTTGTAGGTTCAGAATTATTTCTTAGTTTGAGCTCAATCCAATCGTTGGTATTGGAGATAGATCATTTACTTAATTAGTTTTATTTGATTAGTCAATTTACCTTATATAGTTTATTTGATTAGTCAATAACCCTTTGTATTTATACTCCTTCTAGTGGTAAATAATATTCATAGTGAAATTTACCCAAATCTAATATGGTATCAGCCTAATCGTTCATTTCCAAACCCTAATTCTCTTCCTTCAATCGTTCTTTACTTTTTATATCCAATGTCTCCTTCCACTGATTCTGCTCTTCCCATGAACACTCTCATTCATATGCTTACCATAAAATTAATATCTTCCAACTATCTCCTCTGGCGAAATCAGATTAACCCGCTTCTGATCCATCAAAATTGGATGCGTTTTGTTGATGGCTCGTATCCAGCTCCTCCAAAATCAATTCTGGTCGAAGACAAAGAAAACCCAAATTCCGCTTATCTCTCTTCGATGGAAATTGATCAGAATGTGCTTCTTATTCTTCAATTGTCTCTGTCAGAAGAAGCAATGGCAGAAGTGTTGGGCCTCTTTTCCTCTCGTGAAGTATGACAGGCTTTAAAATCAGCATATAGCCATGATTCTATAGAGTGATCTCAGAATCTTAAGGATTCTCTGTGCCAATTAAAAAAGGGTAATCTCTTTGTTTCTGATTTTGCCAAACAGTTCAAATCTATTTGTGATAAACTTGCAACCATCGGCCAACCAGTCTCTGACATGGATAAGAGTCATTAGTTCTTGTGTGGTTTAGGGTCGACCAATGAAACATTTTCTACTGCCCATCAAGTTGTCCAACCAAGACTTCTTTTCGAGATCTCGTTGCTCAAGCTGAGGGTCACGAGTTGTTTGTCACATCGCTACATGGCCCGACTCCCTCTCATGTTGCTTTTACTACTCGTTATTCTCAGCAGCAATCTCGTGGAAAGAGTAGACCTGGTCGATTGAATTATCGGGGCAACTCTTCCTCTCGGGGTCGTGGTCGACGACAACCTCATTGTCAGTTATGTCGCCATGAAGGTCATTATGCAACATCCTGTCCAGAACTAGGAACTTATGCCCAAAGATCTTCCTACTCGGCTGCAAATCTAGCTCAAGAGTTTCATACCGATTGAAAACTTAATGAATCTACTCCAGATTGGTACGTGGACTCAGGTACAACAGTGCATATGGATCCATCCTCTTCTAGCCTTGATTCATCCGTTCCGTATCATGGCAATGATAAAGTTTCTTTTGGAAATGGTAATGTGCTCCCCATCTCTAGTATTGGTACATTATTAGTTAAACCAAACTTGAAATTGAAGGATGTTCTCATAGCTCCTAATATCAAAAATAAAATCCTTTCTGTAAGGAAAATGACTATTGATTATCCGGTGGACTTCTTATTTTCTCTGTCTTCATTTGCTATCCAAGATTCAATCAACAAAACAATCCTAGCCACAGGAATGCATAAGGATGGACTTTATGTTTTGAACCTGGTTTTATAAGGTCTTGCTGCATAAGTTATTTCTCCCACTAAAGTGTCGTTTGAACTATGGCATAAACGACTTGGCCACGTTGCATTTGATGTTATTTCTATTCTAAATAAACATGGATATTTGCATCTTACCTCTATTTTACCAAGACCAAATCTTTGTTCATCTTGTGAACTTCAAAGCAACATCATTTGCCTTTTCAATTAAATGATAAAAGGTCATTGCATGTTCTTGATATGGTTCATTGTGATTTATGGGGACCCGGTTCCCATTACTTCAATTGATGGGTATCGTTACTATGATTTGTTTGTTCATGATTAATCGAGATTTTCTTGGTTTTATCCTCTAAAAATAAAGTCTAGTTTTTTTGAGGTATTATAAAACCTTTTAAAGTTTTTTCAAACACAATTTTCTTTCAAACTCAAGGTTTTCAAAAGTGATGGGGTCACCAAATTCTTAAACAATTGAGTTCGAAATTTGTTTCTTGATAATGGTACTCATCATCAAATGTCATGTCCATACACTCCACAACAAAATGGATGAGTAGAATGAAAGCTTCGACATCTAACCGAAACGGGTCTAGTCATGTTACTGGGTGCAAATGCACCAACAACTTTTTGGGTAGATGCTTTCTCTTTAGCGGTTCATGTTATTAATTGTCTCCCAACCAAGTTGTTACGAAACAAATCTACACTTGAAGTCCTTTTTAATTTGGTGCCAAACAACAACAATTTTAAAGTTTTTGGATATCGGGTTTTTCCTTACTTGAGGCCATACTCGGAGAAAAAACTTGGACCATGTAGCATTGAATGTATTTTTGTTGGTTACTGCATGCAATAAAAAGGATACAAATTCTTAGATCCCAACACCTATCAGGTCTTCATCACTCGACATGCAAAATTCGATGAGACCTCATTTCCATTTGCAATAACAACTACCAACGATCTTTCTAGTTTGTTCTTATGCTCATATTCGGATGAATTACCTCATCTCCCACCTGATCAAACAGAACCTCATCTACAAACCTCAAACCATCCATCTCAACTCAACCCAACATGCCTTGCTCCTCTTGTTTACACGATACTCCCCTACTATCAACACCTCCTGTAGTTGAATCTACTACTGTAGGAACAATAAATAAGATCGAAAGATTCTATAATGAAGTGAATTAAAGACAAGAACAATGAAGATCAAACGTGTGCCTAATGCTTTGATTAAACGACTCTAGAAGAGTTCTCAAGAACTTCTTTGTAAGAGCATACAAACGGCTTTTAGGGTTGCTTAAAGCGTAAAAAACATTAACCCTAATAATACATGCATGCACTATATATAGGCTAAGACTAGAAAGACCAAAAACGAGAATGGATAGGCCCATATCGGAATAAGTAAACCTATACAAGACATATTTGACACAATACATAATCGACCCAACAATCTCCCCCTTTGTATCAATTTCCGAAGGAGACTCTTCATTGAAGTCTTCTCTGCTGTAACGCCTGGTTTTTTGTATGGATTTATCCTTCAAATTATTGCGTTTTCTTGAAGAACTCGAAGAGTTGGAAGCCTTAAATCTTCGCGTAGAATGGACTTTGGCCGCGTACTTTATTGAACCAACTCGACGAGTTGGGATGCCTCAACTCGACGAGTTGGCGACTGAGTATGAAACCATAATTTTTAGGCTGTTGTACCCTATTTAAGGACCTTAAGTCCCTTGGTTGGTCTCCTTACCAACCTCCTCTATCCAGAAACCCTAAATTTCAAGCTTAACCTTCCATATTTGAGTGTGTGAG